AGGGCTGGGAAGGTGGCTCAGTGGTAGAGTGCTTGCCTTGCATGCCTGAGGCCCTGGGTTCGATTCCTCAGCACCACATAAGCAAAAAGAGAAAAGCTGGAAGTGGTGCTGTGGCTCAGGTGGTAGAGCATTAGCCTTGAGCTGAAGAGCTGAGGGACAGCGCCCAGGCTGAGAGGTCAGGCCCCACGACCGGACCCCGAAAAAAAAAAGAAAGGCATGGACATTAGATGGGCAGGCTTCTTACTTCTATTGACCTCCTGGCTCTGGTTAATTTTGAAAGGGCAGGCACAAAGTGGCTGATGTGACATCATCTCTCTTACTCCTCTCCATGGTTCCTTGTTCCCCAGACTGGCTGAGTCTAGGTGCTCATTGCTGGGATGGCTCATCCCAGTTGGTATTCACAGAGGTTTGAACTCAAGGCGTAGGCCCTGTCCCTGAGGACTCAAGAGTGCTCAAGGCTAGCACTCTACCACTTTGAATTATAATGCCACTTCCAGCGTTTGGCTGGTTAATTAGAGATAAGAGTCTCTTGAGCCAGCTTCCAGCCTGGTTCTTTGCAGGTTAGTTGGGAGATGGAGTCTCAAGGATTTTTATGCCCAGACTGGCTTTGAACTGCAATCTTTGTCACAAAAACCCTCTATTATTGCCAATTAAAGCAACAGGAGATCAAATAGACTTAAGTAGAGTTTATCTGCTCCTTATCAAGAATTGACCAACAAATATTCTGCAATGACAAAACATGGTAGATGTGATGAGAGTTTTAGCACAGATATGGTATTGATTTCTGGTGACCTTAACAGTGCTTAAATTAACCAAGGTTCACAAGAGGCTCTCCTGGCCTACACTTGTTTCACTAGCATAACATAGCCAGCCTTTTCCAGGTCAGGCTGGGTAAGATTCCAAATCTAATATTACAGAAAGAATGTCACACAAGAGTCTTAGCTTTTGCAAATCCAAAGCAATCTTTCACCAGGAATCAGCTGCATGTGATGGAGTTAAGGGGGAGTACAGCCTACTTTTACCATGGTGGAGGTAGTCAGGATGATCTAGGCAGGAGTGAGGCCTGTCTTCCAGGTTTGAAGAGATGGACTGGATCTGGACTACATGTAGACTGGCTGGCACTGAACTATGAATCCAAACTGAAGAAACTTCAGGAAACTCAGACAATTTAACTTGATTACAATGCCAGATAACAAGTTTACACAGACAAAGACATACACACATAGGTGTGCATGCACACATACACACACACACCCTGTGCACATTAAGTTTTACAGCACACAAAAATGAATAACGGCCTTAGACTCTTGGAATTCCAGCAGTAAGATGGTATTATTTTGCCCAATATTTTAGAAACGTGTGGTCAGTTCTAGAATAGGCAACACCAAACAAGGCAAAACTCAAAAACCCAAAATTTTTAACAATAATATTTAAACAACCTTGCTAACAAAGCACATCAGGTGGTCAGTGTAAGGTCTGAACAGAGACACCTCTCTCCCTCTTGGATAAGTTTCCACTCAGTATCTGTTACCTAGGTAACTGCCAGACCTGGAAGTAGTCACTTTCCCCTCCTGCTAGGTCATGTCCTAGACCACCTCTGGTCACATGCTTCCCATCTGACCTTAGGAGGGTCCCAGACCCTGAGGTCACATCCAGATCCAGTGTGGCCACACCTTTCCCCACCTGGCCACACCTCTTGCTGTCCCGGGCCTAGGTAAGTCCTGACCCAGAGGTGGGTCCCCCCATTATTCCCCCACCTTTCCTTTTCAGCCATGCTTCTCCATCATGCATGGCAGGGGCAGCAATTTGGTAAATAAACCTTTTCTCCTGCCTGAATAGCCCATGGTGTTCTCTTCATCGGCTACCTAAGGAAACCTACTTATTTAATATACCTTACAGTCAGGCCTCAGTTTCCAGGGCCTGTGAAAAGAGACAACAACTTGTAAAAGGCACATTAGAATAAATGGGTTGAGGAGTAGTAAGCTTGGTTGAAGGGTAAGGGTGAGAAAAGGGGAAACCTTTAACCCACCATGTGGCGAACTCAATATGGCAAACTTCTAAACAAGTCATGATGGTAATAAAACTTGGAGCTTTATTGAATAAGCAAGCAAGCAGACAAGCAGACAAAGAAGCAGAAAGGAAGGGGCACTCTCTAACATAGTGTGGGTGCTTTCAAGGAAAGACAGAGATTGAACTATAAGACAAGGGAAAAAAATGTTACCTTTCATTAGATGGCTGTGAGGCAGAGGTAAAGGGCTTAGCAAGACAGAGAACATGCAAAGAAAATCTGAATATATGGAAACTGACAATTTTCAAACCTAGAGTGGCTAGCCTTTGAGAAGGAACCTAGAGGGGGGTCCC